CTTGCTAAAGGAACTTGGCTCCTGAGCAGCACTTGAATTTTGGAGTCTTTGCTGGGCACGTGACCAGTATTTGCCAGTAGCAATTCCTAGATTGTTGCTCCTCTTGTTATTGTACAGTTTTGTCATTAAAACTGTGGTGCAAGCAGTGGTGCATCTGTAAAAGCTGTTGTATGAAAGCAACCAAAGGTTTTCTCTCTCCCTCTCTTTTTGCAGAGATCTTTGCTGAAGTCATCAGAGAGACCTGTGCTCTGGTATTGACCAGGAGCCTGACAGACCTGTCACACTCCACCAGGCAGGGATTAGTGACTGAGACTGGAAGAAAATATGCCTGAATTGTTTCTCCATCATGTCAAATACCTTCCAGGATGTCAAATACCTTCCAGTTTTCTGTCACTTTGAAGCCTTAGAAACTTAGGAACTTAGTTTAGTAATTTTTTTGAATTGTTCAATAAAACCCCTGCAAGGAAAAATAGAAAGAACTTAGTTATATTTTTTGGATTTTTGAAAAAAGCACCTGCAAACAAAAATGTTTCAAATAAAGCTGAAGTTTTCTGGTTCCCTTGGGAAAACTTTGCACTGTGTTTGTTTGGGTAGCGCTTTTCTGCCTTGAAAAAAAAGAGATGGAGAATGGCACCTGCCTTTAAAATGACAAAGTGCAGTGAATTGTCTGAATGGGCCAATGTATTGATGGTTTGTGAACATTTCTATTAAGAGTAACCAACAGGACAATAATCACACCTATTGTTGATAAGGAGATCTGCCTCCAGAGGTTATTAGGTGACACCCCACACAGTCTGCAGTAGTTGTGTGTCCAGAAAACACCAGAGGAATGTTTTCCAAGCTCTGGCACACATCCACGCCCTCAGCACTGGAACTGAGTTACTGAGGGTGTTGCTCAGTTTCAACCTTGGAAGCCTCAAGCTGGGGTGGCAAATGACAAGGGGTGTTTGGGAACAGCTCTGCCTGTCTCCTGTGGTGGAGGGATGTCACTCATGGGCTCCTGCTCAGAAATCTGCTGCAGAAGTACACATCTCATGCTTTCTAACAGTTCCTCCAGCTTGCAAGAAGTGCATGATTATACACCTGCACAGCACAGCTGATGTAAACCAATCTACTGGCAATTCTGAAGTACTCATAGAAAGCTGAGACGCTTTGTAATTTATTTCTTCTCCCCTGTCTCAGCCATATTTTTCCTTTCTTTTGCCTTAGAAGCACATGAACTAGTCACTAGGGGGGTTCCACAGGGCTGCATCTTGGGGCCAGTGCTCTTCCACACCTTCATAAATGACTTGGACGCAGGGCTGGAAAAGATACTAAACAAGTTTTCAGACAGCACAGAACTGGGAGGAGCTGTTGACTCCCTCGAAGGCAAGGAGGCCTTGTAGAGACACCTTGACAAATGAGAGGGCTGGTCAATCACCAACCATATGGAGTTCCATATGGCAAAGTTCTTTTCTGTGAGGGAAAGTTCTGGATTCTGCACCTGGGATGGGGCAACCCTGGATGTTTAGACTGGGGAATGAGATGCTGGAAAGCAGTGCTGTGGAAACGGACCTGGAGGTCCTGGTCTATGGCAAGTTGAATGTGAGTCAGCAGTGCCCTGGCAGCCAGGAGGGACGACGTGTCCTGGGGGGCATCAGGCAAAGCATCGCCAGCTAGTCAAGGGAGAGGATTGTCCCACTCTGCTCTGCACTGATGCAGCCTAAGCTTGAACATTGTGGCACTTTTGGGTACCACAATGTAAGAAAGATATTAAGCTAATAGACAGTGTCCAAAGGAGGGCAGCAAGGATGGTGAAGGGACTTGAGGGGGAGCTGTGTAAGGAGCGGCTGAGATCACTGGGTCTGTTCATCCTGGAGAAGAGGAGACTGAGGGGAAACCTCACTGCGGTTACAACTTCCTCGTGAAGGGAAGAGGAGGGGGAGGCACTGATCTCTTCTCTGTGGTAACCAGTGAAGAACCTGAGGGAATGGGCTGAAGTTGTGTCAGGGGAGGTTTAGGTTGGATATCAGGAAAAGAGTCTTCCCCCAGAGGGTAGTTGGGCACTGGTTGGAACAGGGTCCCCAGGGCAGTGGTCACAGCTCCAAGCCTGACAGAATTCAAGAAGCATTTGGATGATGCTCTCAGGCACCTGGTGTGAATCTTGGGGATGGTCCTGTGCAGGGCCAGGAGTTGGACTCGATGTTCCTTGTGGATCCCTTCCAACTTGGCATATTCTGTTATTCTTTGTGCCCAAAAAAAGCTTTGAGAAGGCCTATCTTTTCGTCTGATGTCTAATACTCTTTACTCTCCAACAGTTCAGTTACAGACTTTGCCTGGTGCAGTGTGGGGGTCTTTGGAAGGAAACAGATGTTATACTACTTCTCTCTTACCAAATCCTGCCTGGTTTGTCTTGAAAATACTAAATCCTAAGACCCCCTTCTCCCTCTAGTGAAGGCCTGACTATTTGCCGTTGACCGTTTTGTCCTTTTCTATTCAGTAAACGTCCATCCACGGTGCTCAAGGAGCAAGTTAGTGCATGTGGCCTGTTGGTTTATAGCCAGTGCTTTAGATGCAAAAGCCCAGACTTAAAAACCTCTAGGCAGCAATCTCTGGACTCTGGTAAGTTGTGCAGTGATAGAAACAGCCCATAGAAGCATCAGCCTTGAATCCTTCTTTTGTCTTTTTGTTGGCAGCCTGAACCACCAACTTCTATTGACACCTTGTCAAGTGTTATTTTAAGGGGGGAGGGGTGGATTTCTTTAGCCACTGAAAGGCTACAGTATTCCTCAGGCTGAAGGTGGGAGGAGGTGAATGTCTCCCTCTGCTTTGCCCTCATGAGGCCCCCCCTGGAATGGCCCCAGCTCTGGGGCCCAGCACAAGCAGGACGTGCCTGTTGGAGCAGGGCCGGAGGAGGCCTCAGAGGGCTGGAGCACCTCTCCTCCACAGCCAGGCCAGGAGAGCTGGGGCTGTCCATCCTGGAGAGGAGCAGGCCTCATTGAGGCATTCCAGTACCTGAAGGAGGCCTGTAGGAAAGGCAGAATGATTTATTACATGGGCAGAGACTGATAGGAAAAGGGGGAATGGTTTTAAGCCAAATGTGGGGAGATTTAGATTAGATACTAGGGAGAACTGTGAGGGTGGTGAGATACTGGAACAGGCTGCCCAGAGAAGCTGTGGATGCCCCATCCCTGGAAGGCCCCATTCCAGGACAGGGCCCTGAGCACCATCATTTAGTGAATGGGGTCCCTGCCCATGGCAGGGGGTTGGAACCAGGTAATCTTTGAGGTCCCTTCCAAACCAAGGCATTCCGGAACTCCATGAGGGTGTCCTGTTACCTGGACATGGAATTTTACCCAATGGTTGTCATGGGGACTCATGGACTTCCCCTCTAGCTTTAGGCAGAAACTGGTGACTTGGGAATGGGAATATTGGAGTGAAGGGATATTTGCAAGCCGTTGGGATAGGCTTTTCCTTGGTGAGGCAACTGGTAAGAGATCAGAGGTGATGTCTTTTCCTTGATGCAATGCACTCAAGTAGGAATGGCCCACAGCACCATTCATTGCATATTCCAGCAGTTTGTCATTAGCTGGGCCCTCTACCTCAAGGGAACGTGTACAGTATGGTACCACAAAATTAGAATACCCTCTGATTCTCATTTTGGTGTTTTTGTTTCTGGTTTTGGTTTTCTGTGTGATATACATTCCCCTATGTTAAGTGAATCTTCTGTTAATTCCTATCTCCCACAAGCTGCTGTCATGCAACAGAACTGTGTGAGGAGCTCAGCCTCTGCTCCTCTTGTGCTGCCACTTGTGGAAGACAGGGCTGGTAATGCTCTGTATGGGCTGTTGAGGGCAAAGCTTGAGTGAAATGTTGGACATGTTCCTGAAGAGAAGAGAACCAGGACACCATTTGAATCTTACCTCACCATATTCCACCATGGCAACCCATTTCATTCCTCTGCCATCTCTGATCTTGATTCTAACATTCTGTTTTTCAGGTGGTGAAGAATTCATAGATCTCACAGGTGAATCTTCCAAGCCAATCTAACTGGCGATAGTTCTGTTGTGGTAAGCAGTGAATGGCACCCTTCTCTCCATCCTGCAGTCTCTTATGCTCCCAGACCTGTCTTCTGGCATGTGACTGAGCAGCCTGACCTCAAGGGTCTGATTTACCACTTAAGACAGAGTTCCCAGTCAACTCCAAATGCACCCATGAACACCTCAGCATGTCTGTCACTTGCAGAGGGTGGAGAGTAATCTAAAAAAGCTTGTTGCTTCAGAACTCAGGGAGAACATTTACAAATCATGGGTAATGTTAACAGAAGGAGATGCCATTTAAAGGTGAAGCTATTCTAGAGATACCAAAGACATAGGCCAGTGATTTTAAAGAAAAAGCAAAGGAGAGGACAGGAAGTCTTTGACCTCACAAATATGAAATGTTTAGCTGGTTTAAGGTACGCATGTCACTGAGGTGCCAAGCACAATTGTAGCGGATTGGGGCACAAACGAGTTCTGTTTATTACTCCAAGAAGTCTGTAAATAAGATCCAACCCACAGTGTAGTTTATCCCCTCAGTTTTGGGATGCCACTGCTGCCTTGTAAAGCAGAAACATTTAGCAAGAATAGGAAAAGACCTCAAGCTTTTTTACAAAAGAATCTGCATGACCCAGCTCAAGTTCCAAAAAAATAATAGTGGACTTGGATTTGGTTTTTTTTTTCAGCAGCAGTTCATCTAATACAGAGTGCTTATGGCTATCACAGCTGAATTTGCCTATTTGAGGGAGAGAGAGGGAATGAAACACCTACAGCCCAAAACCAATTAGGGAATTGAAACAGGGGAGCAGGGAGGAGAGG